TAAAAAGGAAACAGTTACCTTTTTATTGGAACGAAGGGATCGATTAAACCAAAAGGAAAAGAAAAAAGATAGAACATGAACATTTAAGTTTGGACTGGAATATATTCTTTTGTTCTGTTTTATTTCTTATGACTATTTGAATTAGTTTTGGAGGTGAATAGTTTTTGAGTTACAATTGCTCCTTTTTAGAGTTTTTCTTTTATTTTAAGAAACAAAACAATAAAATGATTGGAGACAAGAAAAAGAAACAATTATTGTCACATTTTAATCCATGAGATAAACTAGGCTTGATTTCGGGTGTATTTGGTACGAAGGAAAATATTTTTCATGGAAAATGTAAATGTTTTCATGGAAAATGAGTGGTTTTATCACTTATTTTCCCGCTCCAAATGCCCAACGTTTTCAGGATTCTATTTTCTTCAAAAATTTAATTATTCTTCTAAAATTTTCCCAAAGAAACTAATGTGCTGCTTTATTTTTTTTACGCAAAAGTAACGTTGAAATTTGTGCTCCATAACTAAAAAGAAAATACTCTGTTTTGGTTGAAAAAGAAAGTACTCTTTCTACAATATGAAAATAAAATACCCAATTTTATTGAAATGAAAGAAAATACTTTTTCTGTTGTGAACCCGCGTGACTCAGTATGGGATTATGGCCAGAAGTGTGCAACAAAGCCGATCCAGTTGGGAGTATTGGGCTTGGAGCTGAATTGAGAAGAGGCCCAATGACTAAACAACCGAATAGAATGCTAGGACATTATATTTGGGATCCGGAGGGCATGCGAATTATGTTGAAACTTGCGCTCAAGTCTGTTCTCTCATCTCCTCTTCTGACTTTGTATCTCTTCCCCTCTCTTCTTAGCTTTAGGTTGCAATTTCTCTTCTCATCTACTCTCTGTTTCCTGTAGTGTTGTTGTTTTCTATTGTTCTATTAATATTTGGGTTATTTTAATTCGGTTTAGTGAGTTAATATAATCAGTTGGTTTGGGTGTAATATCTAGTTTGTTACATTGGTGCTTTCATCCAGAGGTCTTCAATGGAGGACCAATTATTTCGAACTATCGATGATTCAATTAAGGTCGTGAAGGATCCGTGGTCGAAGGATATCGATGAAATTCGTTCATTGTTACATAAGTTGGTTGAAAACCTTGCAACGAGTAAGCCTACTCCAGTAAGATTCCAACGATTCAGTGGCGAGGATCCAGAGTTATGGATTTCTCAAGCTGAACGTTACTTTGAATTCTACTACCTAGAAGGTGAGGCATTAGAGTGGTTCCAATGGCTTCTCCGGAACAAGCAATTGACGGATTGGGATCACTTTGTTGCAAAGGTGCGAATTCATTTTCATAAGCAGCATCTCGAATCAGCGGAAGGTCACATGGCTACAATCAAGGATTATTCTACTGAAATTGAAGCCCAGATGTTCGACAATATGTCACATGGTTGTTGTTGTTCCAAGTTGTTTACTACAGAGAGATCAGATGTTAACGTCCTTACTGATGCAATGGAATCTAATTCAAACAATGAAAACTCAGAGGATATCCAGGTGTTTGATGAAAGCTCTCACAGAGATGAGGTTAGTGCTTCTCTTATGCAATCTACACATGTGTTTGAAGATCTATTTCGGCAAGTATCAATCCAATTAAGGGATCCTCAACAACACGCGAAGGCAAGGTGTTTGATAATTTTTCTCAAGGAGCTGGGCAAACTTTTCAAGAGTTTTCACCTATGGCAGATGACTTTGAGATTATTTGTCATGTTCTCAGCAAAGAGCTAGAGTCGGAGAGTGAAGATTGTGGAAATAACCATCTCGTTATCCTACCTATAGACTTCCTTTTATCATTGGCAATGGAGAAGGTAGCATAGTTACATATGAAGATGACAAGCACTCTAGAACTGATGTGAGTCAGGCGTTTGATAATTTTTCGTACCATGCGGGTCAACCTTTGGTTGACAATGAAGTGGTCGAATCACTCGGGGACAGGAATGTCCTCTTGATTTTGGATGGAATCAGATTGATTCATGAGCATATATCTATATACCTTCCATTTGATCCCGGTGAGTTTGTTCCTCCACGCATTTTGTTTGAGCACTTGAATGTACATTTGGATAAATCACGGTACTTGCTCATTACACTATGTTTTCTGGTGTATTTAGCTTTGTGGACAATTTCGAGATAGCTACTGAGTTGTTAGAAAGTTCACTCAGTAATTTTAATTCCTTAGTGGTTTCCTTTTGTTTCAATTGGAATGTGGAAACCCAAAGTGGAACTACTATTGCAGAGGAGGAAAAATCACGAACCAGTGTAGTCTTAATATTTGACAACATTCCTCAAAGGGTTGCAAATAGTCTTCTGCTAAGCTCAATTTCACATAAGGAGTCATGGGTGATTCTTTTTCTTAGTCGTGTGCCTGTTCTGCCACGTGATAAAAAGTTCATATTGGCTAATGAGGTCCCTGATAATGAGACATATGTTCCTGATGATATCTTGTTGGTTGAGTCTGCAAACCCAGATTGGTTGGAAGAGTTCGTGTTATTCATTAAGCAGTCCTTGCGACAAAATTTTCAGTGTTTATTTCTGAGTTGCATAGTACTGAATCGCTCAACTACTTTACCTACATCATTTTATAAGGACAAGTGTTATATGCACCTTCTGATGGTACTGTGTGCTGGAGGGAAGTTGTTTGATGCAACCATCACCCGAGGATGTTCGTTAGAGAAAGATCCTGCTGATAGTTTTAGACAACTTCCAAATGTAGTCCACAATGGCCATTTCATGGTTGTTATGCATAAGGAGCTTAAGCTAGAGAGTTCCCTTCCAGTTAGCAAGGATGAATATGCAATGCAACGACTAGTTTTAGATTTCATATCTTCATCTATGGAGTAAATGACTTTCTCCTTAGTCCATGGACATCCATAACAAATAACGCAACAGATCTAGTTCCAACAATGCTACCAGAGGAAATGAAACAGAGAAGTAATTCAGCAAAAGTTATTGAACAACCATGGCTTCAATGGGAGGAAGCATCAGACAAGCCAATAGACCATGTAGTTCTGTCCAAATTGAAGCAGTTCAGGGGTAATATGCAATCTCATGAAACCAACAATAAAGGTCATTGCAGCAGATTTTTCAGAAGAACAAATCAAGTATCTAAAATATGTGTTCGCGAGCATGGATACAAACAATAGTGGAACAATCACTTATGAAAGAATAAAATCTGGATTGGCTCGGCTTACTTCAAAACTTTCAGAAGCTAAAGTGCATCAACTCATGCAGGCTAGTGTTTTGAAGTTTGAGGGATCCTTTGATTGGATAACATTGTTTTTACTCCAAGACAACATACATAGTGCAACTTCGCGCTTAGCTAGATTGATCTCATTGCGGCTAGATGGTGATCCTAATTGTTGTACTGTTATGCTTTTACTACCTAGATGTCAGGCGGAACTATGGGAAGAGAAAACCAACTACCCTACTGTTGCTTTGCATTTACTGTTTGCTATTGACAAGGTCAAGCGAATATTGTTGCATTTTCTGCTTTACTCGAACCTTGAGGGCAATGTTCTTTTTGAGGCGGGAGGTATTGTTGTGAACCCGCGTGACTCAGTATAGGATTATGGGCCAGAAGTATGCAACAAAGCTGATCCAGTTAGGAGTATTGGGCCTGGAGCTGAATTGAGAAGAGGCCCAATGACTAAACAACCTAATAGAATGGTAGGACATTATATTTGGGATCCAGGGGGAATACAGGGCATGCGAATTATGTTGAAGCTTGCGCTCAAGTCTGTTCTCTCATCTCCTCTTCTGACTTTGTATCTCTTCCCCTTTCTTCTTAACTTTAGGTTGCAATTTCTCTTATCATCTACTCTCTGTTTCCTGTAGTGTTGTTGTTTTCTACTGTTCTATTAATATTTGGGTTATTTTAATTCGGTTTAGTGAGTTGATATAATCAGTTGGTTTGGGTGTAATATCCAGTTTGTTACATTTTCTACATCATGAAAAGAAAATACTTATTTTGTTGAAATGAAAGAAAATACTTTTTTATATCATGATAAGAAAATACTCATTTGTTGGAATGAAAAAAAAAAAATCTATCTATAACATGAAAAAGAAAGTACTATTAATAATATTTTTATTTAGAGTGGGAGCGTGGGTGGGGTGGGTAGGTGGGGATTGGGTGGGGTGGGTAGATGGGGATGAGGAATAGAGTAAATAAGGTTGAGAAAGAGTTTTGAAAAATATTTTCGTTTCTTTGATAGGGGAAAGTGAAAACATTTTCGTCCAATTAAAATGAGTTAATGAGTAAAATATTTTCCAAAATATTTAAGTCACCAAACATGGATAAATTAAAAAATATTATACGAAAAATATTTTCCCTTGTACCAAACACACCCTTCGTTCCCTATCTTCTTCTCCTAAACCAAATACTGCATAATAAAACAAAAAAAATAAAGTACAGTTCGTTGCTTAAGGCTTAATAAAAGCACTAATGGTTATTTTTCCATATTAAACCCATCTATAACGGGGTAAATCTCAGATTTTAATCTTTTTAAGTCTTTAACTCCAAAAAGACAAAAATCCCAAGTCCCTATCAGCTCCAATTGCTTGGACTTGTTTCACACTCTCCCTATAACCCTGGCAACAAGTCACCTTCATGCACTCCCACGCGTACAAGGAGTCGGCAAGGTGGGTCCCACAATATCACTTCAACAAGTAAGAACCCACCTAAGATATCAACCAACTTTAGTCCCAGAAAAATCTCAAGCCCGACCCTTTCGGCCCAACCCAAGATCAAGAAACATAACAAACCCAATCGTTACAACATACGTGTCCAGTACACGTGTCCAATAATTCGCGCATCCTAAGTACATTTCATTGTACTGATTCACTCCAGTCAACGCAGCCAATCAGTTTACGCGTAGATATTGGTGCCACGTGTTGTCCCAGATTGTCTGGTTATAATCTTTCTATAAATGGAGCTAACGGTATCCGTAACCGACTCCAGGTCCTAATTCCAAATTGTTAAACTTCCCAATCTTGAAATGAAAACAAAGCAAATATCAAAAGCCAAAAATTGAAAAAAATCAAAGAGAGAACCTTCAAATTTAAACCTTAAACGCTTTAGTTTGTTCAATGATTCAAAGATTTGAACGGAATGATCGCCGGATTTTGACATTCCCGGCGGTTCATCCCTGTGAGAATATATCTCCGGCAACCCTTTTGGATTCTTTAATTACTCTGTCTCGTAACATATGCAATTTCAAATCCAAATTCTTTGCAACTCAAAGGAAAAATGTCCGAGAAACCATTAGACAAGTGGGAATCCTCTTGATTTTTTTCGAGGAAATCCGAGATAATCTTCCTAGTATTAGAGATTCCATTATTCTTTGTTTTGCAGAACTCCACACAACATTCCAAAAGCTAAAATTTCTATTAGATGATTGTACGCGTGAAGGGGCAAGAACTTGGATGCTTATGAAATCCCACTCTGTAGCGAGCCAATTTCGAGCTTTGATTAGAACTGTGGCTACGGCACTTGATATTCTTCCTTTGAATTCTCTTAATATTTCTAGAGAAATCAAGGAGTTAGTGATAATGGTGGCTAATCAAGCACAGAGGGCAAAAATGGAGCTCGACCCTGAAGATGAATATGCCATGAAAAGGGTAATTCTAATTGTGAACCAATTTTGAAAACAAGTACGAGCCAGACACGTGTATAATCAAGAAAGTTCTGGATTATCTTAAGATCACCACTTGGGCTCAGTGCCATAAGGAGATTAAATTCTTGGAAGAAGAAATTAATTTTGAATGCTCAGAGAATTACGAAAGAGAAGTGCCAATGTTAAGCAGTTTAGTAGGATTCTTGAGCTATTGTAGAGGAATTCTGTTCGAGGACTCTGTTTATGGCAACACTGATCAATCAGATGGAACATCCAATCTTGAAACTTTGACTTGCTTGAATCCTGAGGATTTTCGATGCCCGATTTCTCTTGAACTCATGACGGATCCTGTAACAGTTTCCACGGGTCAAACCTATGATCGTGCTTCGATTCAAAGATGGCTCAAGTCAGGGAACCTCATCTGTCCCAAAACAGGGGAGATTCTACAAAGCACAGAATTATTACCTAATTCGACTCTGCGGAAGCTCATTCAACAATTCTGCGCTGATAATGGAATATCCTTAGCTAAATCAAGGAAGAAAAATCGCGATATATCGCGTACTATTTTACCAGGAAGTCCAGCAGCTGCTGAAGCAATCAAATTCCTCTCCGAATTTCTTGCGAGCAGACTTTATTTTGGTTCAGATCAGCAGATAACAAAGGCTGCTTATGAAATTCGATTGTTGGCAAAATCAAATATTTTCAATAGGTCTGTTTTAATTGAAGCTGCATCTATCCCAGCACTCTTACAGATTCTTAACACAAATGATCCAATTATGCAAGAGAACTCAATTTCTGCTTTGCTCAAGCTATCAAAACATTCAAATGGAAAGGAAGTGATCATGGAAAATGGAGGCCTGAATTTGATTATCCGTGTTCTTAAGGATGGGTTAAAGGTAGAAGCTAAGCAAATTGCAGCTGCAATAATTTTCTACATATCTTCACCTCGCGAATACCGAAAGGCAATCGGAGAAAATCCAGAAGTCTTTCCTGCTTTAGTTGAACTCATCAAAGACGGAACGAGTTGTGGAAAAAAGAACGCCATTGTTGCGGTATTCGGGTTACTGCTAAGTCACAGGAACCATGAGAGAGCACTTGGAGCTGGAACAGTTCGAGCACTAGTTGATCTTTTAGCTTCCTCGGATAAAGTTGAACTAAACACAGATGCACTGGCAGTTCTAGCTTCATTAGCAGAAAAAACTGAAGGGTCATTTGCAATTTTAGAAGCTTCAGCATTACCAGTAATATTGAGTCAATTACAGAATACAACATCTCGAGCGGGGAAAGAGTACAGTGTTTCCATTTTATTATATTTATGCATCAACTGTGGCGCGGAGGTATTAGCCGCTCTGGTAAGAGAGCAGGCGCTTATGCCACTTCTTTATTCACTTCTGACTGAAGGAACCAACCAAGCGAAGAAGCGGACACGCTCTCTTATCAAGATTCTACAGAAATTTTGTGAAACAAGTACTTCTAGGTTTGTGAGTGAAGTTCCACAAGAACAATTTATTGATGTAAGGTGAACGGTCGCAGGATTTATTTTTCTTCTCCTGCTCCGTGTAAATATATCCTCATTGTGGTAGTTATATATGTGTCAAGTTTAGCTCCTCTCTTTTTTTCAGGAGCTAAATGCAGAGTAGGTCATTGGGTTTGGGAACTTATACCTGAACAAATTTGTAACACAATTCTTTGTTGTGATAAATAATGAATTTGTTCTTGTGTGATAACAAAATGCGCTTCTGAAATTAGAGAGCAAAAGTCTGTACAATGGTAGTTTATGTTGTTTCTTCCTCATAGGGTGGATAGATATTTTCTTTTTGTGCAAAGTGAAAACCACTTGCAAGCCATGTGCCAAAAGGATTATATCAAAAACACTGTATAATATGGAAGGGTGATGTTAACCTTTATAAATCTCATATATAAGTAGCAATATGTTCTGAACCAATCTTTGCATAAGAAATATAAATCTCACTGAAGTTTACTAGTGCAATTTAAATATAAAAGATGCCTAATTAGAAGCATATATAAGGGATACAGAGCTAGATAAAAGTAGAAACTTAAATCAGCTAAGCAACAGGGTTCTTCTTTCTTGGAATTCGGTATCCTCCAATAACACAAGCATGGTGTCTTTGGTACTCGTCCATAGTAACTTGCTCAATAGGCTTGAATTGGTTGGCCTTCAGTTTCTGCACTTCTTGTTCATATACTTTGTCATCTGGAAGGGTAGAGTCTATGCAGTTGGCCTGCAAAACCAAAAGGAGTCAAGACAGTACTTCCCTAGATAATTTTGACATCTCAGTGGTGGCATCAATATGATGACAGTATTTTAGTATATACTAAGGACAATATAAAGAACTTTTCTAGCACGGTGCACAAAACATCATGTATTCACGGCTAATGCAAGCATTAGTGGACGCTTCCATGGCTCGAACCCATGACATGTAGGTCATACGGAGACGAATTTACCATTGCTCCATAACTCCGTTTCTTATACTATAAATGCATTTTAACATATTATAGCAAGTTAGTTATTATACTTACTGGGTCCTCATTTGTTTGCACTTAATGGAGGTCTGAATCTTAATCATTCATATCTCAAACATTAGGTGCGTTTGTTTTTAAAGTCTGAATCTTAATTATTCAGATCTTAATCATTAAGTGTGTTTGTTTTTTTTTATTTTACAACCACTTAATGGGTCTGAATAGGTCTGTATGATTAAGATCTATAAGAAAGACTTAATTTCATTAAGATGTCATTCATATCTCAGACATAAAGTGCGTTTGTTTTTAAAGTCTGAATCTTAATTATTCAGATCTTAATCATTAAGTATGTTTTTTTTTGTTACTTTACAACCACTTAATAGGTCTGAATAGGTCTGTATGATTAAGATCTATAACAAAGACTTAATTTCATTAAGATGTTATCATCTAGGGGTATGCATTCGAATCGATTTATCGATTATTTGTTATCGGTTTATCGATATCGTTTATCGATTTTGAAATTTTTCTTATCGTGTTATCAATTTCGATTTTGTCCTCTTCGGTTGTCGGTTTATCAATAAACCGATAAGATATACTAAAAAGACAAATATACCCTTATTCTATAATACCCTTTCCTTAAGTCCCTAACCCTATTATTTCCTCTACCCATTCTTCAGCGCCGTTTTTACCTTTCTCTCTCTCTCTCTCCCGCGAACTACAAACCCAGCAGAGAAAGTGAACTCTGGCGAACTCGGCGTACTCTGGCGTACTCCAGCGACTTCAATAGTACGTTTTTCCCTCTCTCTCCGTGCCTTTATTACAATTTCAAGCATCAGCTGATTTCACCTCCGTATCCATTACATGTGCTTGTTGACACAATTTTTATGTTATAAACGGTGTTCGTCTTATTTTAGCTTCTTTTTGTCCATATTAGTTAGGCGTATTTATCGATATACTTTCCGTGGAATCCCGCAAATTTTCTTATTGGTGTAATCGATAAGCCGTAAAAATCGATAAATGAAATCGAAAAAATCGAAACCTTATTGAAACAATAACGATAAGCATATGTACAAATCGATAATCGATAAGTAATTATCAATAAGGGTCAAAATCAAATCGATAAATAGAATGCACACCCCTATTATCATCCACGTTCATTATTAACTGCCGCCACCGCCTATCATTATCAATTATCACCATATCACCCACCACCACCATACCACCCACCACCACCATACTCAACCACCACCACCTCTACCGCCACCACTACTACTACCACCACAACCACCACCACCACCACCCTCAATCATAGCCACCACCATTATCGACTACCACCACCCATCATCCCTACCACTCCCACCACCATCATTCTCAACCACAACCAACACTCATCCACCTCAACTACCACAACTAACCACTCCATTACCATCAACACCATAGCCGGCACTACCCATCATTATAAACTACCACCACCCACTATGACCTTCCTCAATCACAACTACCACCACCCGCCATTATTAACAATCATCATCCACTACCACCATCCTCAATCATAATCACCACCATTACCAATCACCACTAGCTACTACCCTGAACCACCACCATCAACCAAAACTACCACCAACCACCGCCTCTAATCGGCATTCACAAGCACTACCATTAGTCATCACCACCAGCAGCTATTATATTTATAACTATATATTTTATTGATAAAATATTAGATTAACTAGTATTTCGTATGAATTTTATGTTTATTAATTTTCAAATAAAGATAAATTTTATATATTCAGATGTTAAAGATCAGACGGTCTTAATCATTTAGTATTCAGATCTTAATACTCAGATGTGTATTCAGATTCAGACGTCTTAATCTTAAAAAAAAAACAAATAAGGCCAAGCATTGCTTATTATAGAGATTTACATATATTGATAATTTGATTGTGCAAGCATCTTTTTATACCATCAACGCATATATCTAGAGTGGAAAAAGATACTTCCAAAACTGATGCTTTAATGTACCAAATGGACTCACCTTGATTGACAGCACAAAGTGACCTCCAACTTTGAGAAAATATGATGCATTCAAGGCTAAGATCCTTATCTGAAACGGGTAAAAAGTAAAGCATAGCACTCAATAGATTCTGGATCAGGGATGGGGGGAGATGTAACATCTGAGGCCAAACATATGCAAGTTATAGCAGCTCTTATAAACAATTGGAAAACATAACCTGTTTAGTAACATTGTTTCATAAGATAACAATAATTAGTGTTTTTCTCTAAAGACTTCCACTATAATTTTTTCTACTCTTTTTATGGGTGGTAATTGAGTTAAGAGAGCATAAACTTCCTTTGAAAGAAAGAGTTAACAGTTTCACTTTTATCGATAACTTTCAAGTGATTCTTGTAGCGCTTTACCTTCTTTTAACTTATTGAAAACATAACAAATGTAAGTATAGATAATAAATAGTACACTAAAACACAATATATAAAAATGGTTGTTGTGCACCTGCTGTACAAGTATGTAGCAGATAAGTTACATAGCTTACATTTGTGATTTTCCTCCACCTATTGTATTGCATTTTATCCAGAACAAGATGTTGATGAAGAAACAAAACTAACAGCAGTAATATTATCTGTGCTGCTTAGATAACAAACTCTTTTACTCAAAAGACCAAGAAAGTAAAAATAAGAGTAGCAGTAATGTATTAAAAAAATGAAAATTATAATAGAATCAGAAGCCTGGAAATCACCAAGTATATGGAGACACGCCGGCTAATTCATCACATGCTTGATATATGTCAAACGATAGAATCCTTCATTGTATCCCCAAATATTTGGAGATACATTGGAAAAGGAACAAAAGAGTTACATTTTCCTTTCCATTTCAAAAAGGAATATGGATTGAAGGAAATGAACAAATAAGAGGATGTCTTAGATTTTGAAAATCCCACTTGAATTAGTAAAAGAAATTAAAAGAAGTGCTTTGTTAATTAACTCAAGCAAGTGACAAAGGTTCAATAGGATCTTACTAATACAAATATTTGCAACTAGCCTCAATCCCAAACAAGTTAAGATTGATATATATTAAAGCTCTCCGACCAATATTATAAAAAATAAAAATAAAAAATATTAGAAGTTCTCTGCTGGCATAAAAAATCTCTAAGACAACTAAAAGACTTCTATAAAGATACGACAAGAAGTAACGTACAAACATGACTAAAAGTCTATAACATATTCTCGACGGAGTAATTGGTATGACAAGTATAAGATCTTATAAAGAAAATTAAGAATGTGACCTGATCAGGCTGAGCAACATCAGAAAAGATGACATCCACCATACCAACCAACATTCTGTATCTTGCAGGATGCCTAGCATCTTCAATTATGGGAATAACATTTCTTCTGTTCTTGGCCATGTTCAACAAATCCCTCCCACTCCTGTTTGAGAATTCAACAGCATACACCACTCCCCCCTAATTTGATAAACAATTCACAACTCAATTATAATACTAGTATTAGTAGTATTTATAAATAAATAAAAAAAGGCAGCCCGGTGCACGAAGCTCCCGCGTTAACGCGAGGTCCGGGGAAGGGTGAACGAAGCCTCCCACGTTGATGCAGGATCCGGAAAAAGGCCGCACACCAAGGGGGTGTGATGTAGGCAGCCTATTCTAATGTAGGCATTAATGGCTGATTTTGCCACGGCTCGACCCGTCGCCTATAGGTCAAACGGAGGCAACTTTACAGTTGCTCAAAGGCTCTCCTTCAGTATTAGTAATACTCTAAGATGTAAATAAACTGATAGCTTACTGGTCCAACTATGTCAGAGACATGAGAAACAGAAGTTCCAGAAGCAGCTCCCAAGTAAAGAACACGATTTCCAGGTTTCTTTAAGAACGAAAAGGAAAACAATATTAATTGACTGAGGAAAATAAAAAGTAGAGCATATATGTAAGAATATTAAAAAGTCTGTTGAATGTAATTCAATGGAAAAAAAATATACTCACAATCCAAGTATCATCTATGCCACACAAGACGGCAGCGCACAATTTTGAACGGTATGGATTCCAAACTCTATATTCAACCTTTGTTCCATCTTCACTCTGGTGAATGGAAAAAAACAACGCAGTAAACTATGTCTGTTAAGACGCGAGAATTTTTAAATCAAGCACAGGAATATTTCATGAAAATCTTCAATATTTCCCAGATATACTACTTCTATTGTATGACTTATTAGTTAGGTTTATATGCTATATCTATCTTCTTAATAAAAATTGAGAGTCAATTTTAAAACTACATAAACAGAATAGCATCTGTAAAACCACCAATTAATTTGGTGTAAAAAGGTTTGCTAAATCAATATAAACAAAATAACCTTTTGACTCTCTCTGAATAACTACTGAAGTAAAAAACAAAGGAAACGAGAATATGCTAACCACTATTTAATACACAAATTATGCTAGTAGTATATGTTAATTCAAAAGGTGAATTCAACCAAAAAAGTAGATTAATCAAAGATTAAGAATTATCAACTTCACTGCAATTAGAGGAAATTAGGATGGAATGTTGAGGGAGGAACCTGAACAGATATGCGTTTCTCGTTGTAAACAGTAACACCAGGTACCAAGTTTTTAGTGACAAGAGCATCCTCCTTTGATTTGGCTAAAAATATTCCTTCATGCCTGTGAGGAATGATCACCACATTCCTACCACCTCTCATTCCTCCTCCGCCACGACCACCAATGCCTCCTCTTCCTCTACCCCTTCCGGCAACGCCACCTCGACCACCACGACGAACAGCCCCACGTCCAATACCATGACCACCACCACGTCCACCACCACCTCTGCCTCTTGTAGCATTGGAGTGGTTACGGCCATTGAAGCCTCCTCTACCGCCACGTCCACGACCTAAGGTCAAGCAATAAATAATCCAAAACACAAATTACTACAACAACAACAACAGATTCCGAGTAATCCCACAAAGTGGGAGTTTGGGAAAGGTGGAGTGTACGTAGACCTTACCTTATCTTACGAAGGTAGAGATACACAAATTAAAGATAAAACTATTCAAAAAACTGAACAGATAATCTTAAAACTTCTACTATACACCATATGAATGAAGATATACAATGATGGGCATATGTGACAGACGCGAAAGCCGCCTGTTTACCGGTTCAATAAAACTCAATATTTTTGACACAACTCAGAGATATATAGTGAAAAGTACGTATTGATTTAATACACAATATTGACAAGTACATACCCATTGGAGCTCTCATTGTTAAGAGAGAAAAGAAAAAAGTTTGTCTTATGTGTTAAGAGTGGAGATTGTAAAGACGTTGAGAGGTGGAATTTGATTTCTAGGGTGATAATAGGGTTTTATAGGGAAGTAGATATTAGGAATTTGGGTTGCATGTGTGTTTTGCGTCAATAATAAAATATTATTGATAATATATTTTTTCTCATATAAATAATATTAATATCGTATTTTAAGCGAATTAAAATAGTTTCAATTAAAAAATTTGAACTGAATATTAAGTATTGTATCAGCACAAATTGCTTCGTATTTATACAAAATTGTAATTTTGGCACAACAAAAAGAGTTAAAGCTTACATTGTTTAAAGAATAACATTTTACTTTTCAATTTTTAATTTTTTATAGGTTATTAGGTCCTCATTGTTTCCTTTTTTTTGGTCTTCTTGATACGTTCTTTGCCTTCTATCTTTTCAACTTCAATTTTAATTGCACGGACTTTTATAATATCGTGTAACTCCTATACTATTAAATGTCTTCCAATCTTAAGCCCTCCATTTATTGTATTAAGTTTGAAAAGAAAGAAAGAAATTTTATAATAAAATTTATTGTTGTTAAAAAAAATCAGGTTAAGTATATACA